CTTGCCTCCGCCTCAGCAAAACTCTTTCCCTGGGGCTTTGGATTCTCCAGAGCTCTGAGTGGAAGCCTTGAGAACACAGAGAACTACAGTATTCTGTACGAGCAGCGGAGTTTAGAGAGAAACAGGAAACATGGGCTTATCAGTGCCTGAATGCAGAAGCCTGGAGGAATAAAAGAAACACACCCCACTCCCAAACTGTTCTACTGCTTTTTCTGTTTTCCTTTCCCTTTTTCATCTTCTTGTTTTAGCCCTGATGGCTCTTTGTTTTAGTCTTGCATTTCTGATGAAGTGTGTAGCCCAGACCAATTCTCCTGAGCTAAAGCAGCCTATAGTTTTGATGAATCTGGATCTAAACCCTCTCATTCACATCACGCCAACCTCTGGCTCTTTCATTTTGAGCCTGCTGTTTGGTATCTTAAAGACGGGAGCAACAATCTCTGTGTAGGCACAATGCCTACTGAGTTCACTGGGAGCTGCTTGCACTTGCCCTAGGGTTGCAGAGCTTTCAGTGTTTCCACTGTTATTTTTGCTGTCTCCCATCACCTTTCTGAGGAAGGGAAGAGCAAAGCAGCAGGTATGTCTCAAACTGGCCTCCCTAACAGTGGTCATCTACAGAGATCCAAAAATCAAATCAGAAGGAGAAAACTAAAATGGAAATGAATGAGGCATGTTGAGTTGAGGCCTACTCAGACCTTTCTGTGTCTGGCTATTTTTCCCCTGCAATTTTGCTAAGTCTGTCTGGACACAGGGTTTCCATCCTGGCACTGCAAAACACCCAAGCCCCATCTGTGTGGCAGGGCTGTGCCCCACCACGCTGGGCCTGGGGGCAGGGTCCACCATGGAAGCGTTAATTCAATGCCGTGCTAAAGGCCTCCTGTGGAGCTCAGAGGCCCGTGTACTGCAGAGCCTGCACAGCATCAGGCAGGACAGCCCCTTTTTGTAGGCAGGCTGCAAAGAATTATTGTAAAAGCAGGATGTGGCCTTTACATCTGTGATTTCTTTGTTCCTGTCATTAGCCTTTAAACACAACTGACTGTACTTGTGCTTTACCTTTGCATAAAACCAGTGCAGTGGGGAGAAAGGTGAGCGGTAGTGACCGTCCTGCTGGAGCAATCCTTTGACCAAAAGCCTTTGACCAAAAAGTGCTTGTGTCTGTCACTTGAACAATGACATGTGGCGGTTCAATGGGGTTGGAGGCTACTAGAATAGCAGGCTGGAGTTTGCCAGAAACTGTTTCTTTTAAACTTCCTTAGCGTGCAACTCCTCGCATGCACTCTTAGATGTCTTCTGGCCAGGAGCGCCCAGCACTCGCGTCCTTGCCCTCACCCTGGCAGGGCTGTGCCACCAGTTTGTGTTTCCTTTGCCTTCTAAACCGTTCACTGCAGATTAATCCATAAATAATTCATTGCATGTTGCATTCTGTGCTTAAAAGTTCATCGTGTAGGTGGTGGGTTGTGGGTTTTCTTGGAAGTGACAGTGCTTTTCTCCTTTCTTTTTGCTTTGTTCATGTGTGTGTAGAGCTCTCAGAGTATTCACAGCCTGATGGCTCCACTATAGCTGTTTTTCTATTAGCCTCTTTATGTTAGATGATAGTTATTTTCAAATTTGGTTATTATAGTTTAAGAGGGTTTTGTTACAAAAAAAAAAAAACACACCTCTCTTTTGAGATTGGGGTTTATTGAAATAACCAAATGCTTTTGGAAGGTCCTACAACCAACACAGAAATGCACGTTATTCAGAAATGGGTTCCCCTCATCCCCAAGCAAGCATGTCTGTGTGCACACACACTCCTAAGAAGGTGCTTATTATTCATCAGACTGCTGATACTGGAAAGCAATGCAAGTTTTTGGGTGTCCAGCTCTCAAACTGCGTTTGGCATTTGGCTGCTGTTGGGATGGTTTGCAAAAGGTTGTGCTTGGGGAGGGGGCACGTTTAAATTAGCGCAGCCCTTCCTGCACCCAGCATTAGCTTTAGCACTGCTTATTACAGCCCTGGGGCCTCAGTTTGTTCCTGTCAGAGCACTGAAACCCATATGAATGTGTTATGTGGGACACAGCGGGGTCACACCCTTAGCTTGCTTCTCCTGAGAGACTTCTTGCTTTCTGTGGGTGTCCTGCTATGGGGTACCCTGCATTTGCTTGGCCGCATCCCAGATACAGCATCATTTTCCGGCATTTGTATATTGTTTCTTTAATCTTTTTTTGTTGTTGTTACATCTCCCCATTCTAGCAAAGCAGATACAAGAGCTGTAGTCCATGTGTAAAAGCCCACCTGAATCACATAGAGCATCCTAAGGCTGACTTGGAGCACTCGGATGCTAAGCTGAAATTGTAGGTAGAGTTTATGGCAGGCAATGCAGATACAGTTTGTCTGAAAGGGTGCTGAAATAACAAGCAGCACTGGGGCCTTCCTGTCTCCCGTCTACTTGGGAGTTGCTGCCATTTATAATACTTGCAGGTGGGTCACAGTCAGGCAGCAGCATAGGCCCAGGGCTGTTGAGGAAGGTGAGGTGGGAAGAGGAGCCCCACAAGGGGTCCAGCCCCAGCAGCAGGAGGAAACCAAGCCAAATGAGGTTGTTTGAGAGATTTCAGTGGTGTTTTGTGCTATTCCCTCCCTGCATGCACCCACTGAACAGGGCCAAGCAGATGGTACAAGCATTCCTCAGTGAGGAGGCAGTGGTGTGTGTTCTGCCTGCACTGCGATGTTTCTTTTGAGACTGAAAGCAGAGGCTAGAAGTAGGGGAAAAAATGTCCCTGTAGGTGTGAAGGGGAAAATACCACAGCTGGTGTTACACAAGCTTGGTTGTACGATGGCCTGAAGCAGAGCTGTTATGTGAAGGCCTATTCACAAACCCCAATTGTGAAAAGTGCAGATCATATCAGTAATGTTTATTACAATAGCCTGATAGTGTGAATCACATATTTAAAGACTACCTACACTCTGCTTTTTATTCGGGAATGACTGCAGAAAAAGAAAAAGCCAAGTTTCAGCTGCTGGCCAGACTTCTTGCTTTTTCTCTATTAAATGAGGCCATATAATTTTCCTCAGGGATACATTTGGCACTGGAGCTATTTAGGTCTGAACCCTCATCACTAAATTCAAGAGGATTTTTCTGCTCAGTTTAAGGACAGAAGAAGCAAGGTCACAGCACCAGAGAAAAGCTGTTAAAACAGATACTTCTCATCACTGATTTTTGGACTCCGTTCATAAAAATAAAAATAATCACCCTGATTTAACAACTGAACTTCCATAGCAGAAACTTGCCTGTACTAGATGTAGATGAAAAATACAAAAATCCAGCTGCACATAAAATTTTAAAATGTTGAAGTTGTTATCATTTTACAAGAGTATGAAATGGATTCATTTGGACTCAATGGTTCTTTTCTGCTTTTGTGATTTTTTTTTGTTTGGTTGATTCATCTTTTCTGCTAGCTAGGAAAAAAAAAAAAAAGAAGAAGAAGAAAGAATGAATTACCTATAGGTATAGAAAGGAAAGAAAGCAAGAATCAGGAAGTACTTCTTAAAACCGGAAAGGCAAAAAATCTGGGAAGAAATTGCATCTTGATAATTTTCCAGGGAGTGGATTTCGCAAAATGAAACTTGTTTTTAACCAAAGCTTTCCAGGCTTTCAAAACCACTTAAAATATCATTGATACTGAGTACCACCACTTAGCATTTCTAATGTAGGGGCACTGCAAATGCTGCTGCTAAGGCTGAATTTCATAACTCCTCCCTGCATAAATCGCAACACGTGAGGCAGCTGAGGAGGAGTTTGCTGGTGCTGGTGAAGGAGGCAGCCATTGCCTGCTGTGGCAGTGCTGGCTGCATCTCCTGCTGGTGCTGTGCAGTCCCCGGCAGCATGGTGCTGAAATGGGGTTAACTTATGAATCATTTCATTGTCAATTTGCTAGAAACTGCAAACTCAGGCCAAGAATGACACCTGAAGTTCAGCTGAAATATGTTTTTTTTTTTTTCTTTATTTTTAAATATTTTTGTTGTTATTTGTTTGTTTAAAACTGCAAACAGTCCAAAACCCAGAGAGCAAAAGACTGTGTGTGTCCGCCGAACAGACCTGTGTGAACTTATTTGAAGCCTGGTAAACAGTACCTCTCCCAAATGGGTAAACACGTATCCCTGCAGCCTGGACTCTGGCAGTATCTCAGCTGTGATGACTGGGCTCACGCTCTGTGCATTTGGAAGGCACGCACGTCTTTTCAGCCGGACTGAATTCTTGCTATTCGTTCAGCTAATGAGCCTCAATCAATGTTCTCATTTACCGACAAAATCCATGGTGAACAAGTTCATATTTAAAATCCAGCTCCTGCAAAATGCCCTCACAAGTGATTGCCTGGCATGTGCAGAGTCACCCTGACCATCTGATTAGCTAGCCAATTAAAATAGAACTGATGGATCATTAAAGCAACCAGTTGGTCCAAGCTGCTTTTTTTTTTTTTCCAATTTATTTTTATTTATTTATTTTCAGGCAGACTTGAGCTCATGCTCCCCACAGTGTGCGCAGGCAGGGGCTTGTTCCTGGATGTGTGCACCTGGCTCTGGTCCCCCCTAGCTTGTGGAAACCCCAAGGTGCTGCTGGTTTGGAGCACGAGCAGCACCAGTTCCACCAAGAAATGATCCTCGCTGAGAGGTTTGTGGTGCTCAGGCAGGATCTCAGTGCCCACAGCACTGCTTGGCTGAGACACTCCTACTGTACAACAAGGGCAAAGCTCAACCAAACTGTAAATAAGCAAGACGGTAACTCAAGTTTCCCCACCATTTCTTCCTCTACGGCATGTTTTGGTGTGAATATATCCAGTGACTTGATGCTGTGAAACAGATCACTCATATGAAGCAGTCTGGCACATCCTATGGACACACAGATACATGCAGATAATACAGACATATCTTACAAACACATCCTAACCATACCCTACAGACAAATGAGTGTTTGAGGTCTAAATCGTATTTGTCAGGCTCATAAAAACAAAAAAACTCAACATCTCTTTCCTTCTTAACAATCATTATTTTATTAATATATTTTACAAGATTGCAGTTGAAATCATTTAAATACAAATTTTTTTTATACAGAAAGTGTAATAAAGTTAAAATAGTTCCTTGTGTAATTCATAGCATTATTGCAATGCTTACAAAATTTTGCATAGAGTGTGCAAGGATTGATGTTATTTGATACAAAAAAGCTTTATATTTTCCCACACAACCACACACATACATAAATTAAAAAGAAAAAAGCCAAACAAATCTGAATTTCTTAATGAGAACTATGATAAGACTTTAAATTCATTTCGTCCTGTTTACAATATCAAGGTCATTGGTGGTTATCAGAGTAGAGGTCAGACAAGGTATTTTAACCATCACAGATGAAAACTGCCATAGCATATGGGTCATGCCTTTATGCTACTGTTGTAGATGAGTGGGGATTTGCTTCAACTCACACTGAATGTTGTTCTGCTGTTGGGTCTAATTACGCGGAGCATGTGTTGGGTTAATATCAGCAACTCTATCGGCATTCGTGCACAAGGAAACTAATTCGATAAGGGGTGGGCAAAAACTAAAATAAATTAAAATAAAAAATCAAACGGATCTGAGTCAGATCCAGCAGGTCAATCCCTTCCCTGCACCCAGAGTACTGCACAGTGCAGATCCAGATCGAGATCTGGCTCATGGCTCAGGAAAAGCTCTGATCTAGGGAGAAATCCGGGTGTGAGTGCTATCAACCAAGCCCTTCTTTGATAAACACCGGGTGTGATAATTGCTCAGATCTGCTCTTTATGAGGCTTCTGGCGCGCTCTCACTCTGCTGAGCAAGGGCAGGATTTGTTACTCCTAACTTCTGTACTCTCTCTGAAAACCCACAGGAGGGGACAAGAAAGCAAATTCCTCCTGCAGTGTATGCTCTGCGGAAGCCACTCCACGCACAGTGTAGCCCCGACCATGGGAGCAGCAGAGCCTCAGAGCCCTGGCGAGACCTCCTGCTGCACGTACTGCTCATGAAATTACCTGGCTGAGCATGGATCGTGGTGGTTTAGACAGGGTACTCAAACCTTCAGGGGGAAACCCTCAGTATAGATTACCTGTGAGTTATGCGGAGCCCCATCCTGATTTACACCAGCTACAGAGTCAAGAGCCTGTCCTGTGAAAGCTTCTGCACTGCTCCAGCCCAGCCTTGCAAGGCAGGCACCGTTCCTTGCTGCTGTTTCTAGTGCAGAGGACCTGGCAATGGGACGGAGATCAATGAGAAAGGGCAAGGCCAGCCCTCAGCCTCCCCTCCTCACAGGCTGCCCAAGGGCAGGCAGCGTACCAGGGGCATCCCCTGGATGCCTTCAAGGTGATCAAGGCCTTGTTAAAACAGCAACCAATAACCACCACCATAATTTATACCACTTAGACTGCATGGACACATCCATCTGTAAAATCATTAGCATTGCCAAAGTGTTTCATTAGCTGCTACATCAAAAATAGCACTGGTAGTGAGTGCGCAAACCCAGAGGAGGACCCAAATGAAGACAAAATTAGCAGGCTCTTGCTTAGTGGAGCAGCTAACTCCCTGCTCTGCAGGCGGCTATCCTGGGAGAAATCTCGCTGTAGTGTTGGGGGTGGTGGTGTTTGCAGCTAAGTAAGTGTGGGAGAAACTCTAACAGCAACATTTTTTCAACTATAATCCAGCCTTCGGTAAAAATAGAACCACCCACAAATAATTATTCTTCTGCTCTCCAGCGTAAGCCTGCCTCAAGATGTTTCAAGGACTCTGTTATGAGGAAATCTTTAAAAGAACAAAGAAACTACATTGCTTTAGAAAGCGATAACGCATTTAGCTGTAGGCAGGCTTCAGAAAGCTTTATTTCCTATCAGTGGTTAAGCCTTTAGTATGGGGCAAAAATGTAAAAGAACAATGCAATTCTAAATTCTTGCTACATGCAAAGATGCACATGACCTATGCATTGCAATGGGCCTATTCCTGTCATAGTGAAAGTGTTAGAAATAGTGAGACTTTCTATTTGGGATGGACCTGACGAAAGGCTCCAACATGTCCTTTTAATCTTAGGAAAAAAAAAAGAAAAGACATTTTTACTAAGGCTGCAGGTTTTTATCTAAAGCATTGAGAGCAGGAAACAATGTAAATGCAATACTTCTGCACAAATTTTTCTTTCCGACATTTTCTCTTGCAAGCAGAAAGATTTGACCAACTACATATTGCGTCACAGTGGACACATCCTTCCTACTTTTAAGTACTGGTTAAAAGCTAACAAAACTCACCCTGTCCATGGAGATGAGTGGCCCCAAAGGAAATGTGGCTTCATCTGACCAGGCAGCCCACTGCTACTGATTTACCAGTGGCAGAAGATCCCAGCCACCACAGACGTCGAGCTGTAATAAGGTGAGACATTTCCTGGAAGTGACACCAGAGCTGCAGGAATTACACTTGTAGCAAATTAATTTTTAAGGTACTCACATCTCTAGTTTAAAGTGACTTGGATAGGAAATCTCAGTGGTACACTTTGGTTATACTTTCTTGTTCACTTCAGAAAAAAATCCTGCAGCTTTAAAATATCCATGTTTTCCTGCATAAAGAAAGCGTGTCACTTTTCACAAGGGCACAATGCAATTCAAGTGGCAGGACAAGAGAGTTTTAAATGATAAAGCCTCAGGGCTGTATGTGCATAACCATGTGCTTCTCAACCACAGTAGATTTAAAAGCTTTCTAAATACAAGCTATTCACTATAATTTCCATCCAAGCCCCAAGCCATTGTGGTTATTGTGGACGGAAACAACACCCTAGCAATCTTATCCAGCACAGGCTGTAAGTGCTTTCAGTGACAGCAATTCCACTGTGCACTAGGAAAGATCAAACATAATTGCTACCATATTTAGTAAAATGGATGTTATTAATTTAAAGTATAATAGTGTAAACAGACAAAGAAGTTTGCTGGATTACCATGATTAGGGTGATGTCTCTTGCCATTTCTTCCCTCTCCCTCCTACCTGCCTTCTTTAATTTACTCCGCTCCTGCTTGAATAATCTCATCAGCACCACATCAGTGTTTAACCCTGCTCCAATCACAGCCATAAACTTGGCTGCATCAGCAGTGTAAACACCGCAACTGCCATGGAGTATTTACCCAAAAGGCCTACATTTCACCTTAGTGCTACTGCTTCATGCTTGATGCTTGCTGATTTTGGTCTTTGGAGGCATGAGAAGCTGAGATGGCATTTGGGGACCGCAGCCACCTGAACACAGCCCCGTGTGTGTGGCACAACACCGGCTACCAAAACATTACACAGCAATTTCAGAAGGGATGGAAAAGCTTAAAACAGGGAAAACTGAAATGTTACTGTGATTGCATTCCTCAGCAACAACAGCAATGAGAATAAAGAAGCTGCTGTGTTCAGATTTGAAAAACACCAATCTCCTGATTGCCAGAGCTTGACAGGAATGCTCCCTGCGTCTGCTCAGGTGATTTCAGGTGATTTCTGGGTGATGACATTTCCAAATTTAAAATGTCAGCTGTTAAAAAACAAAACAAAGCAAAGCAAAACAAACAAACAAACAAACAAAAACAACGCACAAAAAAAAACACACAGAAAAAGAAAAACACACACACACAAAAAAACAGCTCCTAACTTTCTTATTTTTACTACATGCACTTTAAAATGAAATCATTAAATCATTACAACACAGTTATTCTTCTTCACCAAGCAGGGTATTAAGAATTCTTAAGACTGAAGATTCAGATGGCTTTACAGGAGCCATCCTTCTCTTGCTCATGTCCTCCCTGAAACAGAGCCCGAGAGCCCCATGCCTGCCTGCTCTTGAGAAATCCACAATGCCCCCCTGCCAAAACCTACCAGCATCCCTCACTGGCTGATGCTCAAGTGCAGGAAAGTGCACAGCCAGTAATATTTCCTCAGTTTATTTATACTTTTAGCCTGGGAGCATGTCTTTTATTTTTATTTTTTTTTTTTGGCTATTTCTGCATGTTTCAATTTTCAGGTAACCTTACCCTCTGTATACATTTAAAGAACTTCACTTTATTTCCTTTCCTCCCTGTTAAGGAAATTAAAGTTTTCCTGCCACTGTATTCTCTCAAATGCAGCTATGCAATAAACCTGTATTTCTCCTGGCCAGTTCCAAAAAGCACCATTAAAGTTAATGCATTTCAGGCATGAGGGCAACCAGAGAAGGGATTAATTTCTGTAAGTCTTTGGTCTTTGTCTCACTGTCTTTTGCAATGTGAAACTTAAAGCCATAAGAGCAAATAGAAAGAAAATTGTATGTGAGCATGTGAATATATATATGTGCATGCATGCATGTATTTTATGACAACAAAAGTTAATTTCCTTTAAAATCGTATCTCACTGCAAACCAGGTGTGATGCAAACTGACTGGACATCTTCAGAAGTTCCATAGGAATTGCTCCTTAGTCTTGAAACAATTTCTAGGGAGGGTTTTCTTGACATCATTTTGCTGTACCACATATTGCAGATGGTATTTTTAGGCTTATGCCTTAAACTTCTTTGCTTGTGCATTACAATATTTATAATTGAGGGGAAAAAACAAAACAAAAACAAAAAACCTAACTCTTAAAATACAGATGTTTGACAAGACATGACTGAGAGAAACAAATAAAAATCACTCCTGCACATGCTTAGTTTTCTAAAAATGTATACCTAGGAGAGGTCTTATACCTATTTAAGTAGTTACTGGCTTTCCCGTTTCAAGGACTTCCTTTAGTGTTAACATTTCTTTTTACTCTAAAGCTGCCCATTTCACTGACTACTGGGTAAGATTCTTCATACAAGAGTAAAAACAAAACAAAACAACAAAATAAGACAACAAAAGAAACAAACCCAAATACATGGAGAATGGATACAGTTGTACAATTGGTATTAGGATCTCTTTTTTTTTTCTAATGGCAAAGTCTTTTTGCTTTAACCCTCCCCACATCTACAAAGAAGGGTCATACATGACATATGGCTCAGGTACTGGAATACAAGTAAGCACTGACAGCCATTTTCCCGACTGTGTACTGCAGTGTAGCATTTAAAGCAAATTTAACAAGGTCCCAAAGCCCTGTAAAATCAAGAACTACAACACACAAAAGCATTTATCATTAACTGGTTGCCTAAGGTATGTTGACGTTGGTATCACAGTCCCTTGATCAGCATTTCAATGTTTTTAATGCACATAGCTGCAATGCAGGATTGCACACAGTGCAGAGTCAGAGGTCAGCTCCACAGCCACCGAAATAGCTGGCAGTGTCTCCACCGGCATCAGTGCCGCAAATTTTCACCCATCAAGCTCCTGCTGTAGCTCAGGCTGTGAAGTCATTGGGGTCTCTTCCACTGAGCTTGGTATAAACAAATTCACCATCCACCCCAGCCTTGCCTTAGTGTTGAGAGGTAAAACTAAACTCTGATTTGAGATAAATGACATCTCCCCTAATAGCAAATGCTCAATTGAACAAAATTGCAGGCCCAATTCATAAAGAAATACACAAAGCCATTGTTGTTTTTTTTGGCATTTATCAATGGCAGGTAGAGCATATGTACAAAATGCCAGGCAGGGAGGTTGCAACATGGATGAACTCAAGGAAAACCAACCCATAAAGTAAAGCAAATGTGAGTGGACTCCAGGCAAGGCAGGAGGAACAGGGAGACTCATGCATCTGCCTCTTGGAACAGGTGAGGTGGCCACTCCACCATTGCCCCCAGCCAACAAACTATGAAACATGAGATAGCTGGATGTGTTTGCATGCCGCCTCTTAAATAAAGTGCCTTTTTTTTTCCCCTGGGATCTCAGACCTGCAGTCCTGTTTGCTCTGGCTTGCCACTCACTGAACAACAGGGGATGAGTCATGAGGCCAGGGCAAGAATGGGCATCATCATCCAAACCGTGGTCTTAACACTCAAGTGGGGCTTAGATGGTTTTCTAGTCTCCATATAGGTTCGATCTCTTTAGCAACACAGCATATCATGTTATGCTTTTTAAGATGGGAACATGATTGTAAAATATATCTAAGTAACCAGAACTCCTTTACACAGGCGTAATTAAAGTCATGTCCAAGAAGATTTCTGCAGATAATGGTACTTTGTAGTGATGGCACGGATGTCTAAGGCTGTTCCCTAACAGCTCCCCCATAGATATTCATACCAAAATAAATGGCTGAATGTCCTCAGGCAGTTTCATAGCGTTCCTAATACGAGAAGGTGATAACCTCGTCCAAGAGCTCAGCTGAGAAGACCAACCACTCAGAACAAAATTGCTGGGAAAGCAGTGCTCAGCACAGCAGCTAAATGGTGTGTGGGGATGAGGACTGAGCCAGCAGACTCCTGGGAGCAGAGCATGGAGATCAGAAGGCAGCATCCCTGGTGGATCAGTCCTTGTGTTCAGCCCCATGTTTCTCACTAGCACTGACACCCCAATGGAAGAGAAAGTTAATGCAACTCGTTTTCTGTACAGGATACTCTTCCTGCAGCAGCTGTCTTCACAACCACTCAAGTGCTTGTGCATGCAGGATTTGTTTATGAATTGGGCCATGCTTGCTATAAGGTTTATGATCAGTATTAAATGAAACAGGGAAAAAATTCCACAGTAAATGTAGGACTATGAATGGGACTTCTGTTGTGGTCCCAGAGGTAACGTACACAGTATTTTGCTGTATATAATATGTTAAAAATAAAATAAAATAAAAAATCAGTATCATTCTTGGTGCCCCTACAGTCTAAATGCATTTAATTAACATCTAAGTTGCACAACCGGATCCCAAGACACCCTCCTGTCCCTCCCCCCAGATGAACTAGTTTTAGTAACAAGATAAATATGATGTGCTTCTCCTTGCTGAGTGCATTGACTTAAGGCATAGGCACAATTCCCCTCTTTGAACAGAGATGGTATAGTCCTGTGTCCCAATACAATTGTTATCCTGGGTGACCCTTTGCATTCGAACATTGACTCAAGACATAATAATTACAGGAATCATTCATTAACAAATAGTTTGAATTCATTCGTTGATCTGAAAGCATCACTGAAATAAATGTAAATCACTCAATACTCTTTCAGGAATAAATTTTATGGGAATGTTGCTTTGTTAGGCAACAACGTCTAACCCAAAGTTCATAGAAATCTTCCAATTGAATCCAGCCAATTTTGGATTAGGCCAGAATAGATCATTTAAGAAAAATAAATAAATAAATCAAACCCTGGTACTCTCCAGACCATACGAAAATGTGTGGAAATATGTAAAAAAAAAAAAAAAAAAAGAAAGAAAAAAAAAGGAAAGGGCTAAGTTACTTCTAAAAATTATTTTCAGCTACATTTTATCTTGAAAATTTCTTGAGGAATACCAGCTTTGCTTAGATATGACTAGGGATGGGCACAGATCTGTCATATTTGCATACAAGGTAATATTTTCAATAGCATCTCAGTGACTTAGAAACCTTACGGTCCTTGTGAGATTTACTGTGAATTGAGCACCTTTGTGATAATTAGTTCATTGTTTTTCAAGGATTTTTGCATGCAAAATGGATGCAGTTATGGGTCAGAATTCAAAAATCTGGGCTCTTCTCAGTAATTTTCAAAATTTCAACAAGGGAAAATATGTTACTGGATCAGATGCATGTTTTATCCAGTAAGGAAAAATGAACCCATGAAGAGATTCAACCACAGAGTTTTTTGAACTCAAATTCCAGATGAACCACCATCCAAAGCCTTTGCTTTCCAGTAATCTGAATTTGTCACCGTCTTTATAGATTCTTGAAAAAAATAATAATCTGTTACATTGTCAGCGTCTCTGATATTTGCAATCTCTGCAAAATTTATGTGATCTTGGACTGCATATCCTGAATAGAAGGATGACAAAAATTCTGGTATAGCATTCATATTATACATCCAATTTGTAGGAACTTCTATGTTTCTATGGAGAGAGTAGGCAATTTTCTCTGTTTCTGTAGGTATTGGTAGGTAATGTCCAAATCTTAAATCTTACCTTCACAAGGTACATTAGGTCTTTTCAAATTTGAAGGTGGTAATAGAGAGCACGAAGGGTGATCCAGGACACCTGTTAACTAAAGAGGTTCAAGGCTTTTCTATTTTAGTCCAACCTTCACTTTTTTTTTTTTTTTTTCCTCTTTTTTTCCCTTCAAGAACTAAATACAAGGCTAGTTCTGTTAGCACAGAGATGACTTTAGGTTAAGGTTAGAGCTGATGAGTCACACCTGAATAGCACAAGGCATCCACTGCAGGTGAAGGCAAGAATCGAATCTTTTCATCAAACGCTCACTCCAGCAAGAAGATCAGGACTTTCCTACTGGCCAGGTAGGATCCATCTCTCCCAACAGGGAGTCATGCTTCAGGTGAAAATTAAAGAGTGTAGTTTAACCACAGGTATCTTGGATCACTCTAGGCAACCAGCACAGCACATGTGGCCATTTTGTTTTTCTCATGCCACTGATTTAATGGTGCAAAAATAATCAGAGACTGCTACTCTCCCCTTTGTATGTTGGTGGGTCTACATTTGATTCCAGGGTCTTGACCAGCCAGCAATCCCATTGCTCTTAGAAGATGATCAAAAACAAGGGGTGATCATTAGACTATGTAATTACAAAAGGGTCCAGGGGAGCATCAAGTCCAATTCAGTAGATCGTACCAGTAAATTTTGGTGGGGGAAAGAGAAATGCTACAGAAATGTAACAGGGTCACCCTGGGATTCCTTGTACTGAAACATCATTTTACACAGAGGATATATATAATTTTATATATATATTTTATATATATATATTCACACACACGCGCGCGCACACAAAAAAAGTCTTTGATAGGCTTTCTGTGTTCTAGTAAAAATAGTTGGCAGCTGCAATCTGCGAGACCAGAATTAGCTTTTGTGCTGCCTGCAATGCCCCACTGCAAATTGTCTCTCAAAGGCAGACGCTTGTATTTATCTGGCAGGTCGAGCTAGAGCCTGCCTGAGACAGAAATAACCTCCCATTGGGACACACACAGAGCTCGTAGATTTTTTGCCTGGACCCTGCAGAAGAGGAAGATCCTTGAGGCAAGTTAGGTAGTTTGATTTTTGCAGAATTCAATGTTATCTGAAGTCGGAGAAGGAGAGAGAGAGAAAAAAGAGAGAGAATTAGTGAAATCTCTGTTACTGCTGTTAATTTAGATCTTGTGTTTAAGGAAGCATCCTTTGGACAACTGGGCTGCTACAGAAACTTGGCAGGCAAATGTGTGAAGCTGGGGAAAGTCTGATATAAATCTGGGTGAGTGTATTACCTGCCTTTACTGTGAGCCTCCTAAGACCTCATTTTTTTTTCTTTTTCTGTTAATCTACCCACTGTGTTTTCATAGCTTTGGCATGTCCGTGCCTGGGTTAACCCTTGCAGCACCCAGCAACATGCCTCATTGCCTGGGGAAGAATGTACAGTTCAGCTCCACACAATAACCCCTCTCCTCTGCTGGGACTTCTGGCACTGTGATCCCCTTTCCTTACAGGCTCACGGCTCTGACTTTTACATATATTTTATGTAAACATATATGTACACTTATGTATATTAAAAAATATTTAAATTCCATAACAGACCCAAATTTCTCTTTACAAAACAGCACATAAAAGTGAACATGTGGCAGCTCTCAGACTGCAGGGAAGTGTTGTAATATTACTGAGAAGGGCAGCGTCAGATAACCTGCAGTCCAGAATATTACAGGGCGATTGACAGTATTTGCTCTTATCTTGCAATTACAGAAAAAATTGCCACTTCTGTTTTAGTATCCAACCATCTAATCGCCTGAAAGAGACAGGTCAATATATGCATTTTAAAGGCAAATTAGTGTTGAAAACATAAAGAGAACTGCTTGCAGTCATGAAATGCCTTGGATTTCAATTGTAGTATATTAGGTAGGGGTTTTTGTTTGTTTTGCTTTGTGTTTTGTTGTTTTGTTTTAAAACCCTGATCAGGCTTCAGAATATATTAAAATGCCAACATTTAGAAATGACAGGAATTGCAGTAAGAATCCCAACCTGTGAATCACACCGAAGATAGGAAAACATCAGGCCATAGTTGGAGCTCTGCTGGTGGCAGGTTTGTGTTTTATGGGAAGCCTCCTGCCAAGGCTCTCCTTGTGTTCCCCATCATCCCCACCTTTCAGTGTCTTCCACAATTGTGGCAGGATGAAGGAATGAGAACTGGTGTGCACACATATTCGTGAGACACCAGAAGAGGCTTAATTCAAGACCTATTTTACTTTTGTTCTGTTATCAGTTTTAGATATTCTCTCTTTCCCTTTAGAAGCTTCCCAGTGTAACAACCTCTGTCTCCTAATATTCCCTTTCTTTCCAAAATGAAAACATCAGCTACAAAAGCTTGTCAGATCAATACAGGTGAATTAAGCTCTTCTTATAGAAAAATGTATGATAAAAGATTTAATTATGTTGGCCAAGTAAATCTTGTTTTAAAGTGACAAGGAAACAAAGAATTTAGGAGCACTGTGTACTTTACAGCTGCATAAATTTGCTTGAACAACAGATGCTATTATCCAAGCACTTTAAAAATAATGAATCAGCCTTCTCCATAGAGTGAGCCTTGTTTGCATATGATATGTTCAATCACTCCTAGCACAGCCTAAGCTAGGAAGGCTGCTTCACCAGTGCTTTTAAATGACTGTTTCAAATGGAGCTGCTAAGTGAATCTTATAAATTTTATAAAACTGCAGATCGGGGGCTTGGTTTGCTTTTGCCATAAGGCTTGACACTCTTCGCTTACCTCTCCATCTTTGGATTCCAGCTTGAGCTCTGTCCTGCACGTGGCTTTCAAGCTGCCGGCCTCAGCGTTGATCTCAATGCCTTTCGGAGCCTCCATCACCAACGCGCGTGTAGGTGATTCCAGTCTGCAACAGAAAAGGGAGTTACAGAGCCTGCTGGGTTCAATGTGCGTGCTTAACCTCAGGCTTGAACAGCCTGGCTGCCCATTGCAAGGCAGCTTAGGACCTACTGAAGTTCAGATCCATGCCTGGTTTAGTCAGTGGAAAGCAATCATATTGAAGAAATCATGGTAAAATACATCACAAATTCAATCTGCTAACAATTCACATCAACTTTCCTACGCCAAAAATTCTGGAATGAGATGCAGGGTGCAATAAAGCTTCCCCTGTGATCAGCTCCCTCATACACAAGCTCACATTTGTAACTAATGAATACTAATGGGGGATATTAGCAAAGCAGTGTAGCTACACAGAGAGTGCAAGCACTTTTCCTCCTGAAACCACTGCTTAAACAGGAAAAAAATCGTTCTCATGACTCCCTATAATGTGAAGTATAGGAAAGTTTAATGACATAAGAAAACTGATGAAAAAGATGCAGACGCCCCCAAATTCTTTGACCTCAGTCCTACGCTAACATCACAGTGCTCACAGCCAGCACCGTCTGCAGTGCTTTGACCCCTCCTAACTGTGGATATGCCAGAGATATCTGACAACCCTATTACAGCACTGGCTAAACACAGCCAAACCTTTCAGTTCAGGCAATTGAGGTTAATGCTTTAAGATCCAGAAGTGCAAGGTTCAGTCTTTCTTGCTAATCATTCCTTCATAGCTCTTGTATTCTACTTGTCTCTTCTCTTCTTTATAAAACAGTCTCTTATTACTTTCTGTATTGAAAATAATAAAAACATTCCACCCTCTCCAGGAATGTCCTCCTAGTTGACTTTATCACGATTTATTTACTGTGCCATCAGAAAATCCAGACTATGGTCTCACCAGCTGAAGTGAGCAGGAAGACTGAACAGAAAAGCCTCTGCTCGGAGTGCTTTGGTCAGGCAGCAGAGATCAAGGTGACAAAGGAAAATTCAAGGGCAGAATCCAACACCCAGCTTTCTTGGGCATCTTTTAGGATTTGCTTGCATTACTGCAGCAGCACTTCAGCTGTTTCTCTGCTCTTCATATATAATCATTTGTGCCAGTAAGTGTATTCTTAAATGGACTCCTGCTGGTACTGAGACAACATTATGGGAGACAGGGAATTCGGCTGTATTTATTGCAGCCAACAGTTCAATAAAGCAGAGGCACGGTTTCCTCTGTGTGGCACTTTCCAAGTTATGACTTTCCCTCTTGTTGGTGTCTTCATATTGCTGGGTTTCAAACACCTTCCCTTAAGACCCCAAACTGATCCGTAATTTCCTGGCTGACTCAACTAAATCTAAATTTCAGAGGAGTGAGGGATATATAGCCCAAGGAGCAAGCACTGTCTCGTGGTTAGCAGCCTCTGCACAACTATTCTGAGATGCTTTTTGTTTGCTCTCCACAGGGGAGTTACATCCTACATAAACCTTCTTCTGATCCCTCTGCTGGTATCACCCCTTGGCTGTTTCCTGTATGAGGAGCCTAAGGTTAAAACTGCTGGTATTTTATTTATTTTATTTTATTTTATTTTATTTTATTTTATTTTATTTTATTTTATTTTATTTTATTTTATTTTATTTTATTTTATTTTATTATTTTGTTTTGGTTTTGTTTTTCCTGATTGAATTGCAGATTGCATAGAGGAAAAAAAAAGCCTGCAAGCCTGCAAAGAATGACTGACATGACGTAGTGCTACCTGAGATGTGATTCCCTCTGACCTCCCAATTGCAATAGCTGCCTTTCCAGAATCTGCAGAATTTCTTTATGGCAAAAATAGTCATAGCACACAGCCTTAGGGCTCCGGCACATGCTCTCTGGTGGCTTTCATTACAATGGCCTAACACGCTGTCTGCTCCACATTTTCACTGGAAATTTCTACCCCAGGATACAGTGTGCTCTTATCCTTGGTAGCACAGCCCACAAGCTGGTGTCTACTCTGAAAACTAAGGACCCTCTGCTTGCACTGAGCCCCCAGGATCGAGGTGTCATGGCTGGGATGCAGGTATACATTCCCTCCTGCTGCCTCTGCTCCAGAGGCAGGATCCTCCAGAGGAGAAGCAGATGTCTGGGGCCAGTAATGTCTTAAGTCACTGTAGCCAAATTCACCAGAGGATGTGTCCAAACCCCGAGACAGCTGAGCTAATCCGAGGATAAAATAATTCCCAGGAACCATAGCCAGACAACTCTTCAGCTCTCCAGCATCCTAGTGGCTCTTCAATTTCTTTGATGTCTTGGCTGTCTCAACATATTTGTTCATCTGTTAATCTTGTAGCTTCTCTGCCCACTGAGAAATAAATCTTGTAAGTGCAAAACAGCGCTCAGACACCACAGTGCAAATGCAGTCATCTGCAGCAGCAGCACTCGAGTCCCTGCCCTTTGCGGGAGCAGCCTCCGACTCCCCCACCGGTGCTCTGCTGGAGCGTGTGAGGAGCTGGGAAATAGGAGAATAATTTCCCATGATGGGGGGATCGAGAGGGGACCTTCTCCTTCCATACCTTCCAGTCCTTGTAACCTCAAAATGAGTTAAATTTGTGCTTTGAACAAGCTAACAAGCGCCTGGGAGTTTATTAGATAACATCACCCCAAAGTTTTAATCTCTTTTCATGTCTAACAAAGAGAGTGAGTTGTTCTCCCTCCTCCACCCAACAGAACCCTACAGGCAGGATAATCTTAAAAAACAGTGATGAAAACCCATGCAATTTTAGACACATCCTAGTCCCTACACAGCTCTTTACACCCTGGAGACACGTGTTCCTCTCAAGCATCTCCTGATAGTCCCTGGTGTGACGTGGGACAAGCATTCAACACCCTGCAGCCCCATATGTGTTTTTAAAGTTAGCTGAGCTGAGCCCCCCACTCTTATCATCCTAAATCACTAGATCAGACAGCTGCAATCTTGCTGGCATGCTGAATTAACCAAAATCCATCTTTTTAATATAAAAAATAACATTTTGAAGCCCAGAGTTTTTTTTTTTTTTTCCTTTTTTCTTTTTTTGTTTTGTTTTGGTTTTAAGAACCTTAAAACTATGGAAATGAATGCAAGTACTTGAACAGCAAAGTGCAGCTCTTCCAGTGCTGAGAACCTTGTGCTTGCAGCCTGAGTGGTTTTGTACTTATGCTGTGGGCTTGGAGCCTGACTCTTCTCTCTCACAGCGGTGTAACTCCATTTGCTTGCAAAGGACTTTTGTCCCAATTTATGCTCCTGTAAGCAAGGACAGAAAGGTCTTAATAAAGCTTTCTTTGTCATTAGAGGGGCATATGATTGCAAGGGATTTAATTTGATTATTTTCTGATTTCTTGAATGAATCCCTGAGACAGCTGTCTTTAAACCAGGAGCTGAAAAATCTATGCAAAGCCAGAGAAAACATTTGAGGAGTTTATGCTCTAGGGGGTTTGAGGAATGTTTACCGAATACTTTCATTTAAAGCAAGTGTTTAAGAGACACTCTGCTTTTAAACCTAATTCTGTCTTCCAGAGCAGAACCAATTTGGAGACTAATAATGAAAGAAAATGATTTAGCGATGAACAGATAATTTGTTCAAAATCAACATTTGTTTTTCAGTATGATACTCTGGAGCTTTCAGTAGGATTCACATCCGGCGAGGTGTAAGCCTGTACTTACAGCAGTAGGCTGGAAAGGTGGCTGCATGAATATAGATTGTTTCATTATTTGCTCCTGCTCTTGAATTTTCCATCCCAGCAATTGGCACATAAGCCCTTTTTATTGACCATGGGTGGTGCTTATTTTTTGCTCCAGTGTCTTGAAGACCAGCCTCTGACCTCTCTGCCAGAGCTGTGCAAGGAGGGTAAGTTCACTGCTATCCACAGAGTTACACTGATTTCCAAACATGACAAATTCAGAACTTAGATAAACTGCTTCCTCCCCCTGCCATAAAGGCGTTCCCATCTTCCCTACCCACCAACCTCCTGGTAGGTGGATGAAGAATCTTCTGTCTGGGTGATAACCCACATCAGGGGAACCTTTCTTATGGGTCCCAGGGTTTCATGCAAGTCAAAAATTTTAAAAGGAAAGTAAAAGTAAAAAAGGAAAGTAAAAGACACAAGTAATAGGATTTTCAAAGCTATCAAAAAGCCCACGATCCACGATCTTATTACACCAGGCATCAGGTACTTTTGAAAATCCCATTGAGCATCTAAATGCCATAACAAATCTGACCCTTAATCTCACTTTTTAGTTCTGCAACAGAGGTAATAGCACTTCCCAACTCCACGGGGAGAATGAAAAGAAAAATATATTAGTGGTTGTGAAGCGGTTACATACTGTAATAACTGAGGCCAGGTAAGTACCATAGCCAAAGATAGATGGCTGGCAGATGGGTAACTGATCTTTCCAAAGCTGCAGTATTAAGCTCTTGCCTTCATCAAAAATATCGTTCCTCCCACTGAGCACACTTGGCCCGCATAGCAATGTGCAGGATGATGTATGCAGGGGAAGCCTTCCTCCAGCTCACCATGCTTAATGGACAGTGCTAAATGTGCCTCTTAAGCCCTCTTACTCAAACCTATCGCCAAAGCAGCTCTGATTGTAAAGAGAGGTTGATGGCTTGTGTGCATCTGGTAATGAACCCCTCTCCGGCTATCGCTGGAAGTTCTGCGGTCCTGACAGTCAGCAGGAGAGCAAAATTTTTGGTTTTGTTTGTTTTGAAAACTTCAGCAATAATTTAAAGGAGGTCAGCATATGAGCTTGTATTGCGGTTCCAGTGAAATTCACTCTCCTGGAAAGATCATTACTTGCCCAGATTTCTAGGTTTCATTTCCTTCATCATAAACAGCCACATTAATCACTCCAGCAGCATGGATTATATTTCCTTCTTGTCCCTCTCCTTTCCTCACTCCCCTCCAGAACAATCCATCGCTTGCCTTACGATTATGAATGACCTTTGGAATATGGGGAGAAGAGAGGATATTACGGATGTGAGTGCAGTAACACTAGCAGCTAGGGGCTGCTCTTGTGCTTCCAATAAAATGGG